TTTTGTTTGTTTGATAGAAATTCTTATCTTATTCATGTCTTCTCTCCCTTTTACTTCATCATCCAATTAGATTATTCCCCATTATCCACATATTGTTCACTCACTCACTCACTCACTCACTTACTGAGATTGTTACCTCATTGAATTCTCAAAACGATTTGTTTGAATGCAACAATTAAAACACTGAATGAATGAAATAAACAACAGATACGACGGATACCATACACAAATAGACCAATATACAGTCTCATGTTATGATAACAACATTCAATTGAGACATAACAGAACACTTGTTATTTGGTGTATACACAATGTAATCGACTAGGATAGAATACATTGTCACGGAAGGTGAAAACACACAAACACACAGAAAGAGTGAGTGAGTGAGTGAGTGAGTGAGTGAGTGAGGGAAAGTGAGTAGGAGAATAATTGAGACTGTTTCACTGGTTTGAATTCCGGTTTTCTGTTTCCAGTCTGCAAAATAAAAAAGGATACTATATTGAATAACAACCGCGACCACCACCACATTGGATAATAACAACTAATTGAATGGTCGAATTATAAGAGTAGACGAACTATCAACAAGGAGATGGAGTAAATGTCGACAGTTATGTAGAATAGACTGACAGGTGGTTTACACGAAATCTATTCATTGTTTTCCAGTTACATCTATCTGCTACAAATGTGTTTGTATGTGTGAATGTGGATTCGAATAGATTAACTCTTGGTTAACTAAACATTTCCTGTTAGTTAAAAACAGTAAAGAGAACTGTGTACATTCAATTGAGAGAAGAAAAAGAAGAAATAAATCAACAAGGAAACACAATTGACAAATCATTAATCTACAATCAGTTATACATCGATTGAGATAAACTGTGATGGATGGATAGATGGGTATTTGGTTAAGTCAGAACCATTGAAATAATTCATTTGATGGATTGATAGACGGATAATGCACATTATCTATATCAAATGAGCAGAAGTTATAATAATCATAACACCAATGTGGAATACTGAGATGCCTCCTCCTCCTCCTCCTCCTCCATATTTACTTTGGTACAATTCTTATTGATTACTTTCATCGGTGGTTGATGGTTAGGTTTCGATAATTGACAAATAGAAATGTTTTGTTTACAATTGGTTGATCGGTTGGTAATGACCAATATCAAATGTGTCAAATACTCCTTAGTTCACATCGAATTCTATCGATGAAGTTGGGATGTGGCCACTAGTCTATGTGGCTGTGGTTATCGTATGCATCATGTTGATATGAGATGGTGGTTGGATGTTTCGTGCTACTTAATAATTGTCAGTTAGGTGTACCTGTAATCTTGACGGAACTGATGCTCTCTAGTATATTCAATCCCATGTCACCTAACTTCACAGTTAAAGACGTTAGTTAAAACGACATTGTACAGTCTGTTGAAACGATGGGAATAATTCTCCTTACATAGATAATTTTCATGGAGATTGGTGTATTATTACTAATAACAATATACATCTTCCTACGAACTAATTATTTCTTCCTGTACTATATCCTTATATTCAATCGTTCTTTTATATATTAGCACCACTGAATTAACTACTATAAATCCAGTGTTCATTTTGTTGTTTTGTGGTGCGTGCTACTTATATTGATATAAGTAGTGTATGTCGCGAGTTAAAACGTAATATCTGGCAGCAGAAGATGAAGAAAGGAAGAGCGAAAGCACAATGGAATTTGTAAGAAAACGCATGTACAATGGAATGGGAGACAATGGATTAGTGTTTCCAACGAAAACAGTCCAGTTTGATATGATGCATTTATATTTTGCAAATTGACGATTGATTTTATGGTATTCAGATTTTATTGAGATAGTCTGTAATGTTTCGCCTAATATATTCGATTGTCCCCACTCGTGTTTTGTTCACTAAAGCATGAATGAGGTATGGCAACTTGGACTGATGCACATATGTGCATGGTCCTACGCGTTGTAGCTGACTGACTTACATGTCTCAATAAGGAATTGATTATTGATTGAATAATTAGTTTGTTCAGATCAATCTATTCTTGATTTACAATGATATCACTATACAGATATACTCTAACATTCTATTGAAGTCCATTGATTCACTAAATATCTAGTAGGTTAGACACAGTCTGTTACTTATTAACCAAACATTGTTCCCAATTCATCATAGAGTTGCTTCTCAAATTCTAATTCCTTTTGAATACAATAATGATCTGATATATAATGTGAAGAAAGCTACGGTAGTGATGATAGAATTTATAAACAAGCCGAATTTCAAGTTTTTATACATTCGAGTTTAAATGATTTAATTGTTTAATCTGGTTAGCGTTATTTTAGCAAGATTTTTGTTCTACGGGATGGATTTGCCGACATTTTGCCCAACACTCTTCCATTACCCTGGGTTGGGACCGGCAGTAACTCTAGAAGTGCTACAGAGCTACAAACCAGCTTCCATTTAAAGAGAATATTAGGAAAAGACGATGGAAATGGATTGGACATACATTTCGAAAATCATCAAATGGCCATCATGAGGCAAACCCTAA